TTGAGCTCTGCATTCCTGACTACTGTGCCACATGAGCCAGACTTGGTTGGGAAAGGCTGCTTTGCGAACCCCGGGCACATGGACAGCACTGGCCCAGCCTCTGTCATTCCATCACCTTGGAAAAGTAATCAAATTTGAACCATTAAAGGGTATTCTACAACATTTTTTTGAAAAGCATTTTTGTTTCCACTTAGAAAATCAAAAACCTTGTTTTTTGAAAGAAAAAACAAAACATACTTTGGTTCTTATCTACATGAGATGGAGAATGATAACAGAGCACTCCCTTAACTATGATTTTTGAACCATTGTTGATCCAGATGGTCAGATTTTTCAGAAGTTTTGGGGGATAGTTGGTAGTGATGTGATTAAAGCAATTAAACATTTTTTTTTGTAATTGGTAAAATGCTTAAGAAATTTAATGAAACCTACATTGCGCTAATCCCCAAACTAAGGAGTCTAGATTCAGGCTCTCATTATAGACCTATAAGTTTGTGTGACACAGTGTACAAGATCATTGCAAAGGTCTTTGTAAATAAAGTTCAAATTTTTATTGGGGAAGTTGATCAGTGAGAATATCTTAGTAGCTCATGAAATCATTGATTTTATGAGAAAAACTAGAGGCAAATCTCCTTGGATGGCACTCAAATTAAATATAAGCAAGGCTTATAATAGGGTAGAAAGGATCTTCCTTGAGAAGGTTTTGTTGAAGATGGGGTTTGGTGCTAAATGGGTTAATTGGGTGCTTTAGTCTGTAACCACAGTCTCATATAAAGTTCTAGTTAATGGCTGCCCAAGTAATAAATTCTATCCTGAAAGGGGTTTAAGACAAGGAGATCCTCTGTCCCCTTACCTGTTCTTACTTTGTTCAAAATCCTCGTCTACTAAACTTATAGAGCTTGTGAACCAAAAGAAGATTACTAGCATTTCAATCACCAGAAACTGTCCAACTGTCTCTCACTTGTTTTTTGACGAAGCCATTGGTCAATAGGTAAATTTCTCAAAATTTGAGATTTTTTTTCAGCAAAAACTTGCATCCTAAAATCCGAAGGATGAAGGCCAAATTCCTTAAAAAATGAAAAACGTGGTTACCCCATCTATTTATTTGGGGTTGCCTACAAGAATTGGTAAATCAAAAAAGCCTTATTTAGTTTCCTAATTGAAAGAGTGGAAAAATTATTGTCAAAGTGGCATGAATCTTTACTCTTTCAAGCAAGAAAGCAAATTCTGTTAAAGGCAATAGCTAGTTTTACCTGAAATTATACCATGTCTTGCTTTTTGCTTCCCAAGGATGTCTGTAATGAATTGAGAATAATTCAAACTAAATTCTAGTGGGGAGGTCCAAACGAGTCAAGGAAAACTCATTGGGTAAGTTGGGAGGCTCTCGGTAAAAATAAGTTGGCAGGGGGTTTGGGCTTCAGGGACCTATATAAATTTAATCTAGTTTTATTAGCAAAGCAAGCGTGGAGGATCTGTAGATAGGAGGACAACCTATGGGTTAAACTCATTAAGGCTAGATACCTTAAAGGTAAAAATTTCCTAACTTCTAGGCTTCCAAAATAGGGATCTTGGGGTTGGCAAAGCCTTATAGCTACAAGAGAAGTCCTCTAAAAAGGTGCTTGTTGGGCTGTAAATTCAGGAACAAAAGTCAAGATTTAGGACAACCCTTGGCTCCAACAAATCAAGTCCTTTAGAATAATAGATCCCAAGCTAAATAATCCATACCTAAACTCGGTGAGAGACCTCATGGACAAAAATGGGAGAAGAGGGAATGTTAGATTGATTGAAGAAAATTTTGGGGGGCCTATAGCAAGAAATATCCTAAGCATAAACTTGATAGTGGGTTCATGGGAAGACAAGATTAGATGGACGTTTCATTCAAGTGGACAGTACACCGTAAAGTCAGGATACTTGGGAATGAGGCACGCAATACTAATAGGATAATACTATTACGGGGGCTTAAAAAAAACTCAGTGGTCTAAAATATGCAAAGCAAAAATTGACCCAAAGATAAAAAATTTCATTTGGAAATGTTGTTGTAGCAAAAGAAAATCTTTTTAAAAGAAATCTTGCTTCAGTTGATATCTACCCTATTTGTCATCAATAGATTGAGTCACTAATGCATTCCTTATTGTCAACACCCAATTTTGCTCAGTTTGCCACCTATACCCCCCAATTCACCCTAAACGCCCAATCAAACTCATCCAACCTCGTTGAAACACTCAAAAGCCCCAAAAGCCCAACTTTTAGCCCCAAAGCCTTCAAATTCACCGTTAAACCAGCCTGATACCTATCCGATGGCCCCGATTAACCCTCACTTACACCTCAACCATTAGATCATACACAATCATCAGATCCAAGACCTCTGAAAACACCTACCCATGAAATTTGAACTCAAGATTCCTTCGTTCACCCATTCATCAAACAAAGATTCCATTTTGACCCTTCTCGCACCCCCAACCCATATCCACTTGTTCCAAACACTTCTAAACCAATCAAACCTTGCCAATCACCCCAAAATGCAAGTAAACCCCTACATATGAAATTCCAGCCTAAAACACCACCATTTACCTCAATCATACCAAGATTCAATTTTAATGCCTTAGATTGACTGGATTACTAATCTGCCCAATCCGGGCCCAGTTGGCTCAACCTAACCTTACCAATCACCTCAAACTGCCTAAAAACCCTACCCTATGAAATTCACCCAAAACTGCCTTTATTTGCCCCTTCATCACAAAAAGATTCCACTTTAAACCCCCTAATTATTCGAATCCATATGGGCCCAATTGGAACAATCTGATCCCACCAATCAATTCAGAATATCCAAAAACCCCACCTTATAAAATTTTGGCCAAAATTACCCTCATTAACCCTTCCATTCAAAAAGATTCCATTTCGATCAATCCTATTGGTTCATACACACAAACCCACTCCCTGCCCTTGAACCAGGCCCCCCAAGTTCAGTCTCCTAGACCGATTTTGACCTAGGTTCGTAAAATTTTGAAACTACCCATAAATTTGGTAAAATTGCAAAACCCCTGCATTCAATATAAAAAATGCCTAAAAGCTTCATTTACCTTAATCGGAGAAGTTTCCAAAAGAGGGACTATTCAATCTATCTCCCCCCTTTGAACAAAAACCAAAGAAGCGGTGGTGAACCAGCGGCGCTCCCTTCTCCTGGTCACTCCCTCCTCTCTTTTCCCTCCTCTGACTCCTTCTTTTTCTTCCTCAGACCACCCGAAAATCCACTATTCATCGCCCCCTTCCTCGAATCCAAACTGAAGCAAAAGCAGAGAAAAGGAGGGGACCTATTACTGTTCATCGTCATTTTCGCCCAGACTATCAGAGGCGGCGGTAATTTCGTTTCATTGTGAAATTTTGCAATTGACGTGATCTTTGGGTTCAAGAGTCTTACAATGGGAAGCAACCAATTGTTGGGAGGATGATTCATGGATACATGACTCTAGAGAAGATTCATGGATACATGACTCATTGGTCGCGTGCTCTAGAACAGCTTTAAATTCTCACTAGGGTAAATTGACTAATGCTAGCCTTACTGTTTCTGATAATTGACTAATCCTTCTTAGTCATTAACGTGTGTCAATATAAATGTGAAAAACACTATTTTACCCTCTACTATAATTACTCGGATCTCTCCCTCTCCTTCTCATTTTCTTCACTGGAACTACCTGAACCACTAGAACTACCTGAACGAAAGATGATGACTGGATCTTAGATCTGAGTATCCCTCAGATCTCATATTTGGGTTCCTTGAGAACTACCGGAACTGCTACCCCTACACTCCACTTCAAGGACAACACCAGCGACATCAACAAAAGTCACCTGTCTCTAGGGCCTCCTGAAATAACCTACTAAACTTCATCGGACCACCGAGGCCGCTTGGACCTTCTTGTGCTTGTCAAAAGAGGAAGGCGAATGTGAGGAACAGGAAAAGGCGAAGGTGAGGAATGGGAAAAGGCGAGGCCATCTACTAAACTTGTGCTTGGACCTACTAAACTTCATCGGATCACCGAGGCCACCTAGACCTCCTTGTGCTTGTTGGAAGAGAAAGGCGAAGGTGAGGAACGGGAAAAGAAGATTTCCGATGAGTGCTTCTGCTGGAAAGGCGAAGGCCGCTTGGACCTCCGTGTGCTTCTGCCGGTAGTCAAACAGTTGACAATGATGTTTTTTCCATCAAGAATCTGCCCTCTATATCTACCGATTCTAATCATTTGGCTGATTTGGTGGTAGAGAACATGGTGGAAGTTTGCAACAACAGGAAAAGGCTGATTTCGATTCCTTCAAATTCAAATCTTTTGGCTGATTTGGTGCTAGTGAACATGGTGAAAGGTTGCAGCAATGGGAAAAGTCTGATTTTGATTCCTTCATATTCAAATCATTTGGCTGATTTGGTGCCAAAGAACATGGTGAAGGTTGCAGCAATGGGAAAAGGCGAAGGCTGCCCTGGACCTCCCTATTCTTCTACTAGTAGTCTAGAAGATGGCAGTGATGGTTCTGCTGTCAAGAATCTGCCCTCTAAATCTACCGACCTAGAAGATGACGAACCCAAACCCTCTAAATCTATCGATCTCACAACCCTATTTTAGTTAAGA